TTTTTCATTAAGAATATTTTCATCCCTAAAGTTATATTAATAACACTTAGTAAGAAGCTAGTCTTTTTGACAATCCAGTGAATGTGTTATGGATGAATTCGAGAAGGTAGTAAAAAATGTTTAAGCTATAATTTTGTTTTGTCATAGCTCTAATAAGTGTAATAATTATTTGTTTACAGAACAAACAAGAAAAAAACAAAAAAATATAATCCATAGGTTATCTCAGAAAACTTTAAAATTAACAAAGAAATGTAAAAGTCAGTAGACTAAAATGAAAATGATAAAAAAATTATCAGAAAAAAAATCATTTTTAAAAATTGTTGAAGCAATGCCTGAAACTGTTAAGGTTTTCATGAATATGCAACTAAAAGGCAACAAAAAATCTAGAGGTATGAAATTTTCGATAGAAGAAAAAGTAATGGCTGCCTCCATTTTAAAACAAAGCAATAAGGCATACAATTTCTTACGCAAAATAATAGTACTGCCATCTAAAAGAACATTGCAAAGACTTTTAAAGGTAATAAAAATAAAGCCAGGGCTGAACACAAAAATTATGAGTCATTTAAAAAAAATAGTAAGCAACCTACCTATTGAAAAAAGACTTTACATACTTTTGTTTGATGAGGTAGCATTATCGCCTGGATTATATTTTAATAAACATGAAATCATCGGTTTTGAAGATTTTGGACAAAAAAAACGAAAAATATTGCAGATCATGCTTTGGTGTTGATGATTAAAGGTGTGAAATCTAAAACGAAACAACCAATTTTATTTACGTTCTGTAAAAGCGCAACAAAGAATATCGAATTAAAAACAATTATAACTAATACCATAAAACAGCTAAAAGAAGCTGGTATTATCATTGTAGCCACGATTTGCGATCAAGGAACATCAAATGTTAGCACAATTAAAATGTTCCAAAAAGAGACAAGGGAGAAATATTTACGAGAAAATATAGAGTACCAATCTAATTCTTTCGAAATAGACAATTTGAAAGTTTTTCCTTTATTTGACACGCCCCATCTATTGAAAGGAATTCGAAATAATTTTCTGTCTAAAAATATAAAATTCCAACAAAATGGGAAACAAAAAATTGCCAAATGGGAACATTTAAAAATGCTTTTGAATGAAGACACAGGTGAAGACGAAATAAGAATTTTGAATAAATTAACCGAATACCATGTGTATGAGGAAAAAATTCCAAAAATGAAGGTTAAATATGCAGCCCAAATATTTAGCCAAAGAGTGTCAGCAGTAATGGGATTTTTAGCACGTAAGTTTAATTGTATTTATTTATAATTTGATAACCTCCATCATTCATACAAATACCGGGAAAGAACTTGGACATAATTTACTTGTTTTTCTATTTTAGCAATGTACAGTGCTTATGCTTTATCATCATCATCATCACCAGCCCTTTCACGTCCCCACTGCAGGGGCCTTCCTTATGGTGAAGGAGCATGGGCCATGACCCTCCACGCTGGGCCAATGCGGATTGGAGGGTATTAAAGACTGCAAATGCAGCCGGAACCAACGGCTTAACGTGCCTTCCGAAGCACGGAGTAGCTCGAGATAATAATTTTTTGGTCTTCCATCCCGTGACTGACCGGGCCGCGGCGCTTATCCACTACGCCACCAAGCTACTCAAAGTGCTTTTATAAAGTTTTAAAATTGTTGTACAGAACTATTGGTACTCTAGCCACACTTACATTTTCGTGATATTATTACAGCAATTACTACATAAATTATTTTATTATTTTTTTCAGGACGCAATGTGCTACCTGCTGAATGTGAAGATACGGCAGACCTTTTATTGATATTTGACAAATTGTTCGATTCTTTTAATGGTCACTCTTACTGTGATACAGCAAAAGTTCTTAAAAAGTGTCTTAAGAATAATTCCCCACATATTCAGTTCTGGACCCAGGAAATAATCCCGATTTTAAAATCAATACAATTTGAAAAACATATTATACAAAAAGATGGTTCAAAAATTGTCAAATATGAAAAAATCCCATCTGTTCAGAACTGGATACATAATGTAAATACTATCATAGAACTGTGGAATTATTTACGAAAAAATTTTAAAATAAAAAATATTATAATGAGAAATTTTAACCAGGATCCCCTAGAAAATTTCTTTTGCTGTATAAGAAGTAATGGAATCAGAAATATCAATCCAACGTGCATGCAGTTTATGAATGCATTTAAAACAGTTTTGATTAATAACATAAATTCAAGCCATTCTATTAATGCTAATTGTGAAAAAGATGATTATGAGCAATTGCAATCGTTGAAATTTTTATTGTTAGAAAAATGTGACTCTCCCTGCTACACTGATTTTGCATGCGAAATTGATTCTTTAATTACTGCTTTACTATAACTGTCGTTACTATAACAGGTTAAATAGCATGCTTAAAACTTTGCATAGAAACTAACGCCATCTCTTGGCCATGGCGTCCGCTTAAAATGAAAATTATTCTTAAGTGGCGCATCTATACCAGTATATGTATTATCTATGCTATAGTCGATAATACCCAGTAATATAATACAATGATACAGACTAGAGATGCGCCATATATTCATTTGATATTCGTTATTCGGTGTATTCGGCATCTTATCCACTATTTGCTTTTGATGCCAAATATATTCATTTCGATTATTTCTATTTTTTTTTTGACTAGACGACACGATATAGCTGAAAGACAAAACTTTTGTGAGATTTATGTTGTTTATTATAGAGCACAGAAATCATATGCAGAATGTGTTCAATAAATCTAAAATATAGCAATTAAACTTCAATTCAAAATTTATATTCAAATCCGTTTACGCGGCAAGACAATGAAATAGTAAACCGAATATCCGGTTTGGTAAAGGTTAAACTGCAAAGTCATCGTGCAAAGTGAACTATTAAAAATACAAGGTTCTGTCCCTGCCTACCCCTTCCTACCCACAGTACGCCCCCGGGTAAATTAATCAACGTTTTTATGTATATGACGATAAGGATGAAATTTTTATAAAAAATATCGTTATATCGAGGTGGATATATCCAAATAATATCGACAGTTTTTTCGTTTAAAGTAAATCATAGAGCTTTATTTGTAAGTAAATATAAAGCTCGTTTTTATTATGTTAAACTATAACGGTCAGCGATATGGTTGCTATGCAACTTTCGCAATTTCTGGTCACAAGTAATCAAATAATTATTATCTTCAACTCCTCCGTACTTTTGAAGGCGCTAGTTCTTCTGGTGGTCACGGCTGTATCTGCAGTCGTTAACACCCACCAATCCACACTGGGCCCACATGGTGGGTCATAGCCCATTCGCCCTATTCGATTTTCAATTGATTTGTGAAGATCAGTAATGTTATAAATTGGATAACTGATATTAAATATACTTTATGGACTTCATTGTTTTTTAACCTGAATATATTGAGGTTAAAGATAAAAATCTCCAGTTTCACGTGGTGTGGAACCCGAACTGCAGCCATGTACTTTTTAATATTGGTATATTGACATTACTATCAAATCAACAGAACTAGCAAAATCCACAAGGTTAACGATTAAAAAGAAGAAGAATAAAAAAAAACATTTTTTATACCTATTTCTGTGAATATTTTGTTATTGATATAAATCGACATTATTAGGAACATCCCTAGGAAAACAGATACATATCGATATGTATCTGTTTTCCTAGGGATGGGCAAATGGAAAAAAGTATTGATATGTATCGTATCGATATATTGATATATCGATTTATTCTGCGCAATAAGCGACTATCTATAAAAATTGTCAAAATATACGAAATTTTAAAGCAAATACCTGGCAAATCAGTTTTAATATTCAAAATAGGTACACAAAGTCAAGAAAACTACATCATCAACACAACAAAAAGTACATTATTCAAACAAATCAGTATTTGTTTATTATTGACATCAGGAGTACTCTCAGTGATACCAACAAGCAGTGTCATTGTCATAGACAAACAAAAAAGACAAGCAGGTCATAGACTGTAATTTTGAAACTCACACAGTCTACTGCCTACCTACTCTTTTTCTAAATTTCTTCTAGGCAGCAGAACTTAAAAATATATCGATTTTAATACGAATTTGATATCTGAAAATAAATATCGAAAGCCGATATATTGTGGGAAAAAATATCGTTGATTTATATTTAATCTTTTCAGAAAAAATATCGATATTTTTATATATCTATAGTTTTTGCACAAACCTATTTTTTCCAATATACATTAGCGTTGTGTTACTCACTCTTTTTTAATGAGGATAAGTGAGTACCTCATTTTCCCTCGTGAAGGACTCGCGAGTTACCCCTCATTTGAGGTGAGGATAGGTAATGTTATAGTAGCAGTGGATGAGTACGTAGCGAGGCCCGCGCAACATTGGCATTTGGTACAAAATGAGGGAGGGAGTCGGTAATGCTAAACAAAATATATTTTGTCTTTAGATTCTCAGAAATAAACTTTTTTAGATTATTATTTAACAAAATGACCACAACATGCATTTTATTTGCAATAGTGTCAAAAGTTCCATTTTTAAAATCGATCAATCATTTATTGTTCGAATCATATAAATATATTTCTAAATAAAACCGAAACATTTTTATTAACTTTGATTTTTACTTAGACTAATTAATATCATTTATCTATAAAATATTAAATACGTATTTCCGAAGAAACACATAAACAAACCCGAATCGTTCCAAAAAACTCATAAAACTTAACCCATTCCCTCAATCTTGAATATATCGAGTAAGTATCGAGACGCCTTTTCATTCGAAACAACTCGCTATTTAGCTCCTCACTCAAAAAGTGAGTAGCTTAATGAGGTGGTTCAAAATTGAAAAACGAGTACTCCATCATTTTGACGAAATGAGGAACTCAAACGAGGCAACTCGCGAGTGAGGGGCTCATCACTAATATACATCGTTCATCCCATCCCTTTAAGAAGTTGGCTGTGTTCCATTTCTACAAAAAAAGAAATAAAACATCAAAGTGGTTAGTTTGTTAGTATTTAAATTTAATAAAGTATAATTTTATCTACGAATTAATCGAATTTATCGAAAAGATGAAATGTCAAATAATTTAAGAAAGTCCGAGTTTGATTTGAAAAAAAGTTAGGTACCTACCTAGCGATCTTATTGTTGTTGTTTGTTTTCATAGAAAATATCGCTTAATATAAATTATTTCATTAATTAATTCCTGTAAGATAAGTTCATTGAGACTAGTCTAAGTTCCATTCGTGATTATAAATGTTCAAATATAAATTTCCTATTGTAAAATCGGTGATGACGCTCGATTTAAAATAGCTGTTCTACAACAACAAAATTGAGATGCTTCCAATTTTGATTTATAATAATATGGAAGGGAGTTCGAATTCATTTAATAATAGTCCTGGTTCGACTTACAATGGATTGTACGATGACAGTGTTATATTAAATTGTGTTAGAAGTAGAAAAAAAGTGAGTGAATTGCCTAATTGTCCTGTGTGCAGTTGTACTATAAGACAGGGAGAGTTAGAAACTCATTTAGCTTTAGAAATAGAGAGACTTAATAAATTATCTGGTGGTTCGTCGAAAAGGAAAATTAGTGTAAACTCTTCTACAAACATAGCTATGCCAGGTTCCAGTTCAAATTATGAAGAGGCAGAAGAACAAATAGTTGATGTGTCTGGATGTCCAGGCAGTGATGTATATCAGGTAACTTTTTAAAATATAAAGTCAACATTATTCAGTAAACAAATACAGACATTTTAAATTAAATTATTGTAAATATAATTGGATTATATAATTTATTGCAAAGCAGTAGTGAGTTAAATTTGTCCAATCAGAATATTTCGAATACCCATTGATATCCGAGCACTGGGCTCCTGCTGAGTGTGAGTGGGAGAGAGACCCAATGCATAGCATTTTACATCATACAGTTATTGAAACAAGAATCTTTAATTTTTTTTTGTTATTGTACATTGGTCATCATTGCTGAGTGCAAACAAAGGTTTATCATGAGCCATATTGGTACTTAGTGAGCCATATTAGAACTATTGGAGAAACTATGGCTACTGTGGGAAACAACCGGCCCATAAGACATTTTGAAAACCTAATTTATAATAACATTGTTGTATTATTTCATGTCTGATATCTATCACAAAAAAGGAGTTAAGAAACTACTCTGTGCTATGGAAGTTATGTTAAGATGTTAGGCTTGGCTGCACTTGCAGTTGTTAACACCCACTAATCTGCCCTGTGCCTGCACAACCCATTGTCCATATTTCTATTTTATTTGAATCCATCCTTTGATCTTGATGGATGGTCTTTCTTTAATGCAGTAGTAATGCAACCCTAAATCAGGGCTCCCCAACCCAGCACCTATCTTGAAATAGACAGGCTAAGGTGATGCCGGCCTACATGCATGCATAGCATGAGAAACTCGTCTACACTCATTTGTCAGTTTTTCGGGTCAAGAGTGAGATATTGTATGGGCGCACTTGACAAAAGTTACATTTGGGTGCAGACAAAATGTTCTCGAGTTCGACATGCAATGAGTGCTGTTAAAACCTGTTGTGAGTACCCTAGTCCCAACAATGGGGACATTGAATACTACATTTTGTTTTTCAGCGTGTCCATTCAAACCGCGTGCGTCGGTTGCGTGCACGTCGGCGCAGCACTCCTCCGCCAGCAGAGGGCCAGTGTCCCGTGTGTAACACGACGATGCCCACGTCACGATTACAGAGGCATGCTCTCAGATGTCTCAAAAGAACTGGTGCTTCAATAGATGATGACGTGCCTGACACCAGTTCGGAAGAAGGCAGCATTGATGTTGAGGTGACAGAAAAGATTCATTATTATTATATTTTCATTAATTTAGTACTGATAAATATTCTTAATGAAAAATTCTTAAAAATCAATGATTAGAGCAGTAGTCTCATTTTCGTGGTGGTGGCTTTGGACCCAGATCATATCTTGGGGACCCAGAGCAGGCTTAAGCATTGTAATTAGAGCATTTGCACACGACGTATATATAACGCGCGTTGAACGCAATTAAGACGCCTAGCAAAGGCAGGGCTGTCGACGCGTTGTGTCCTTTGTTCGCGTGTGTAAACGCGCAAGCATCGCAATAGATTCGCGTTGTAAACGCGCGTTTGTCGCGATATTAACGCGCAGATGCCTTTTGGTTCTCCGTTTGACCTGTATGTGTGTATGTATTGCCCGCAATTATCTCGCATTTGGCTGAACCGATTTCCGATTTTGACGGGGTTTTCAGAAAAGTATATTTACTGTTACCTATTATAGAAAAAAATTTCAATATCACTAAAAAGCATGAAATAAACACTTAAAAAAATAGAACTGCCAGCAAACTTTGGAAAATAAACGAAAAAAGAGTGAAAAATTCTTATAATTTCACTTAAAGGACATCGCCGAAAATGGCCCCAATACCATTAAATATTAAAACTTCAATAATAATTACTAATTTATTTATTAAATTGGAATCAAATATTTATTTGACACGGACAAGCTGCGATCCTAAATTAATATTTAAAATTACTTTAACAGTAACATTTTTATTCACAAATATTCACATTCAATATACTTAAATTCTATTGAGTCAGATGGATGTAATTTACACGTCAGATCAAGAAGATCATCTCTTTTATTAGATAACCTTTAAATCATCGAACACAAAAACATTAAATTAAATTGACCGAAAATAAACTTAAATTTACTAAAAACGCCATCTTTTGGTGATTTTCCAACTAAAACATAAGGACATAAAAACTGAATATTATACAAACTAAATTCATTAACTGTTGATAATTCACTCTTGTTTATTCAGAAACACTGATATTCATACGACATATCCTAAAAACTACTTTGTTTCTATTACATTACCTTTATATTTCTCGTAAACATATTAATATCATGTCATTTATGTATTTAAGGCGCCATCTTTTGATGTAAACCATTAAAAGGTATAGGTTTTTTTAATTTTAAACTTATCAATAGGTACATTATTTAACTATTAGAATGATTTATTTATCTATTGATTGACTTAGAAACTTTTAAAAATCACAACGAAAAACCGATTTTCTTAAAGTTGAGTTTTTTGCTTCGACAATATAGACATCAATATCATATCATGTACTTAGAGTGCCATCTCTTGGTGGTTTTCCAAACAAATTATAACCTCAAAATGAATTATATTTTGCGTGACATAATAAGACAAAATAATACATAATAAGAATTAGTTAGTGACACACAATAAAATAAGTATTTTCCTATATTTTTTTGGCTCTGGGGCCTCCAATGTATGGACGTTGAGCAATGTCCTTTCAATAATTCACCTTTTGATGTGCGTTCGACTTACATTTGTATTGATAGAAACGGGTGTCAGCGCTTTTTAGCAGATTGTACGTCTGCTATAACGCGCTCATCAAAAACGCACGTTGTCGGCGCCTAAGAAAAACGTCGTGTGCATAAGCCCTTAGTTTTGCAGTTAATGAAGAATATATTTCAGTATAATAGTAAAATATTATTATAAAGAACGACGAGCCGTCGTCTGGCGGTTTCGGGGCTGAGTACCAGTGGTGTGGGCAGTGGAGGGTGCGCGCTACGGCGCTGCAGGAGCGCGGGGCGGGCGGGGGGCACAGCGCCACCAGCGGCAGGAGAACCTCCAACGACCACGCCCTGGTATATATGTGTACTCATTTTAGCAATTAAAGGGATGAAAATGGGCCTGGAAGTTTGTATGGGGAATTAGAACGTTGCCATAGCAACCGTTGCTCATCGTAATTATATATGTATTATATCATTATTTTTCTATGTCACGCTTGTTTACCGTCTCGACCTCGCTTTGAACCATTGGTCCCGGTTGCAATTGCGATCGTTAACACCCACCGATCCGCATTGGGTCCGCGTCGCTGCCGCCTCCGAAGTTCCCGGTTCGATTCCCGTCGTGTCAACGTAGAAAACGAGCTTTATTATACATATTACCTCGAGTCTGGTTGAGAAAAGACTATACACAGTAAACCTCCGCCAGACCTCAATAGCAGTTCCTTGAATAGATTGCTTTGGAGATAAATATTATTTAAAATTTTATCCTTTATATAGGTTCCTTTATTGTAGTATAGCGAGCAATGATTGCGGAAGCAGCTGCAATCATTGCTCGCTATACTACAAGGAGCATTTAAAACACTGGCTAAATAAAAATAATGAAATGGTAAACCGAATACTAATCTGTTATTCGATGAAATCTGGCTCTAGTTTGTATGTTTGTCTGTTTTACTTCATGATTTTAATTATTTATTTATTCATTCATTAGGTGGTGGATGGAGATGAAGACACAGAATTGTATGGACCGCCCCAGTATTCCCCGTCCAGGATAGCGCCTGATGTAAGTTATAGAATCTATACATGTAAATAAAATTGGAGCTACCGTTTGTAATGTTAAAATAACCGATGTTCACTAAATGCATATGTATTATAGCAAAATAACATTTTCTTTTTACATTTTTTGTCTGTTTGTTCCGGCTAATTTCAGAAACGGCTGGACCGATTTTGATGAGACTTTCACTGGCAGCTTATGAAATAAGGTGTAACTTAGGCTACTTTGAGGCCATCCATAAATTACGTCACACGTTAAGAGGGGGGGGAGGGGGGACTGTGACATTAGAACAATATTTAGTAGAATTTGTATAGACAAACAAGTGACATGAGTTTTGTCATCTGTTTGTCTATAAAATCATGAATTTTGTGTGACGTTATTTATGGACGGTCCCTTTCCACGCGGACAAAGTCGCGGTCTCAACTAGTCTATAATATATAAAGCTTAATTACCACTGACTGACTGACTCACTCACTCACTCCATGCTTTTTTCGGGTAGAAAGAGGGGGAAAATGACATTTTCATGTATGGAGAGTGACAATATTTTTTTAATTCGAGTTGAAATGGCATTGAGGTTCAGCGAAAAAACAAAATGGCGGCGAGATAATTTTTTTAATTTCTACATTATACACTCTACGATTACGATATTCGAAATGGTCGTAGATTTGGCTAAAAAAATGACACTGGAAAAAGGTTTGATTAAAAAAACAAAATGGCGGCCGAGATATTTAACCTGGAAATTTGGCATTTTTCGACCTCTGTTCGGGCAATCGTCAATTGTTTTTCTGTGGGTTTGGAGGCGGGCTTTTTACGCCGGCGACTCGGAATTATAGTCGATTTTTACGTACGGGGAGTTTTCATTTGCGCGTCAACATTGCGGCGGCGGGGGCGGCCATTTTGTTTCGGCAGTGAAAAATCGCCATTTTCCAGTGAGATTTTCTCCAAGATGGCGGCGTCGGATGGATTCGCGTCGTATAGGGTGGTCGTGGGGCTCGCTGCTAACTTTTTAACTTGGTAATAATTTCTACCATTTTCGTGGTAGTTTAGGAGATTTTGGGAGAAAAGTGAAATTTCGAAATACGCACTTTTCGCGGAAAACAGACTCGGTGCGGTGTGGTGCCGGGGGAGCCCTTTGACTTTTGGTAGTTTTCGTTTCTGCGAGCTGACAACCCTGGGCTCCACGGTAGAAAACGTGTTTTTCGACATGCCCTCATAACCCGAATTGTTTGGGAACCTGGGTGGCCAGCAGAGAAAATCTGTGAATGAGGTCCCTTGCCTGATATAGTCGTGAATATGGGAAAATTATGAAACTCGGGAAAATCAATATGGCGGCGTCAGCAGCGGCCGTTTTGTGATTTTTTTTTGTGTGACGTTATTTATGGACGGTCCCTTTCCACGCGGACAAAGTCGCGGTCTCAACTAGTAATAATAATATATTATTTATGCACACTACAAAGAAACTAAATAAGAAAGGAGTATACAAATGCTGGCTTACCACAACATCTACACTAACTTAAAATAATAGTAAAGCATAGAAACCATGCTAAAAAAGGCAAGCGAAGAAGTTTTCTTAGACTTTTATTCCTAACGACCTGTGTCAGAAAGAGATGTATAATATCTCAAGTCATGTCTCAATTAATGTAGATTGTCACGAGTTAGTTAAATACTTTTTACTGTTTTTACCAAAATATCAAAGTAATGTGAGTGTTTCTAGTAATATCAAGCAGTAATAAAAAATTACTCGTAAAATTGTGAGTTTTATATATTTTCTCAATGCAGTTGCTCATAAAGCGCTATTTTTTTAATCCATTGTAAACATCGAAAGTGAATCCTTAGACACGTATTAAATAAAAATGTACTGAAATCCTTTACTGCACACGTGATTAAAAGTATTTTTTTATTTTTTTTTTTGGCCGAGCACCAAAGAAATTAAAAAAAAAATTGATGAAAATATGTCAAACTTTAGCGGCAAAAATATTTCAAGGAGCCTAGAAGGAATATTTTCAAATAAAAATGTATGACACGAAAACATGTTCAAATATCAGGTTTAATTTTAACAAATCATTTTTACCTTTAATAGATACTTAGTTTTATTAACCTATATATTTGTTTTATTTCCTCGCAAAAAGAATTGAAAAATGTTGTAAGAAACTTGAGCGTAAAGGGTTTTTCGAATTCGTGCTAATGCCAGTTTGGCCCTTATTCGTAAAATCTTACTTTCCGCACTCGTATCTTAAATAACTATTTTGTCATTGTTACTTTTCATTTATTCTTCATCGAAATTGGTTGGACTATATTAGTAGTTCTTTGCTGATTTTTTGAGCTTCTTTTTTTTTATTAACAGGCTTATATACCAGATGAGGAGACTTCAGAGGAGATAGACGCTGAGGCAATATCTGATCCGTCATCACCAGAACGTAAATCTAAACCGAACGGTCTAGTGGAAGCAAGTGCTGAGGTTAGTCAATGATAGTTGATTTTTCTTACTTAATGGGGGGGGGGGGGGGGGGCAGCTCGGTGGCTTAGTGGATAAGCGCCGCGGCCGGCGATCGTTGTCGTTAAGCAACTTTCGCAAGGGTCGGTCACGGGATGGGTGACCGAAAATTATTACTCCGTGCTTGAGAATGCACATTAATTAAGCCGTTGGTCTCGGCTGCATTTACAGCCCTTAATACCCTCCAATCCGCATTGGGCCAGTGGGTAGGGTCATGGCCCATGCTCCTTAACCATCTATAAGGAAGGCCTGAGCCCCTGCAGTGGGGTAAAAGGGCTGATGGTGATGATGAATGGGGGGGCGAGGGTCAAGAACTGGCATAATTCATTTTACAGTTATTAAGTAACTTTCGCAATGGCCTCATAGGATGGGTGACCAAACATCGGGAGGCACGTTGTCACATCCACCAATCAGCATTGGGCCCGTATGATGGGTCATGGCCCATTATCCCTATTCGATTTGGTTTGACTCGATCCTTAGGGAAGAAATGAACCCCAACAATGGGGATATAAATAGGCTGGTGATGATGGTACTGGTACCACTAATTGCCGACTACACATTCCTTCTTCTTCTTTTTTAATTCATGGCCTATTTGCATTTACATAATTCCGCCAATGTCACGTTTGTGGTCTTTACACGTAAAGAAACAATAATAAAATATGTCAATTTAAAATTTTGGCGAAATAGATAAAACTAACTGAGCTATCTGATAACATTGTTAAAAATAATACAAATAGAATCAGTTTTCACTATCACTTTGACTTTGACGTTTTAACAGTTTCGCGCCAATGTACTTTAACGTCCATGCACATCACTATAGGAAGGTTTACTCTTCGGATAATTTATGGTCAATGCTGACCGTTAATATTTTGAATTATAATTTTTTCCGTATTCGAATTCGCGTGTTCATTTTTTTTTTCTTTTTTTTCTCTTTATTTTGGCACAAACAGTCACTAAACAACATTTCAATGTTGAAGATATTACAATATATTGAAGACAACGAGTACCCATAATTACTTAAAACAGAAAGAACAACATGAGTTACAAAGTAAATAACAGCTTTAAAATTATAGTTTTACAAAATTTTGATTAGGTTATGTGAAGTTAGGATAACTAAGATTAAAAGTTGATCATTGGAACGTATTAAAGATTTTAGACTTAATGCTAGTTGAGGTATTACAAAACAGGTCAATATTGGAAAATTTACTATTATACATTTTGAGACAACGACAAAAATAACTATTGCAGGTATAGTTTTGCGATAAGGTGGTGGTACAAATATTTTTATTGAACGTGAGGAGCGTGCGGGCAGTCGGGCTTTGACAATGAAGTTTATTTTAGAAAGAAGAACTGGGCAGTCAATTTTACTGTTTATCAATTTAAAAAGAAATACTAAATCAGACATCTTTCGACGATTCTCTAGAGATAACAAATTATAGCTTTTTAGTGACTCCTTGTAATCCTTATTTGCGCAGTTTTTACGATAATTAAGTACCTTTTCTAGGCGGGCTATATCTTTTTTATAAAAAGGATTCCAAATGACACTACCGAATTCCAAAATAGAGCGTACAAAAGAAAAGAAAAGAATTTTTAAGGTATGAGGGTTATTAAAGGGTTTTGATATTCTAATGATGAATCCGAGAGTACGAAATGCTCTTTTAACTATTTGATCGTAATGTGCTTTAAAAGATAATTTACTGTCTACGATTATTCCTAAGTCTCTAATACTATCAACTCGCACCAATTCCATGTTGTTAATCTTATAAGGATATGTAATTGTTGAAAGTTTTCTTGAAAAACTAATGATACGGCATTTGTCAGCATTAAGGAATAATTGATTATCTCTGCAATATTTAGTTAAAGAATCCAAATCGCTCTGCAGCCCACGACAGTCATCTTCATTACTGATGACTTTGTATAATTTTGTGTCGTCTGCATACTGTAGGTGGCAACAGTTAATCAAGGCTTCATTAATGTCATATATGTAAATGCAAAAGAGGACAGGCCCAAGATGAGAGTCCTGCGGAACTCCAGATGGAATAGGCAAAAATGCGGAACAATAACCCTTAACGCAAACAGCTTGACTACGATTACGAATGTAAGATTCGAGCCATCTAAGCAGATTACCATGCACACCGAGGGTCCAAAGTTTTTGTAAAAGCAAGTTATGAGAAATTTTATCAAACGCCTTTGAGAAGTCGGTGTACACAGCATCCACTTGTTTACCCTGATCCATAGCCTGAAGAACAGACTCCGTAAATGTTATCATATTGGTGTCAACGCTGCGAGAGTTAACAAAACCATGCTGCATAGGGGATAAATGATGTCGGATAAAATACGATAACTGATGTGAAACTATTTTTTCCAAGAATTTCCCTAAAACACATAATTTAGAGATAGGACGATATTCCGTAATCAAATTTTTTTTGTGGTTTTTAGGAATAGGTGTCACTAAAGCTCGTTTCCAGAGGCTAGGAAACACACGGGAACTAATTGATTTGCGGAATATCATTGTTAAAGGTTTTACTAATTGATTTGCACACTGTGACACGAAAAAAGGATGTATGTCATCGGCTCCGGCTCCTTTATGTATATTTAGATGTTTCAAGTGTTGCAATATTACATTTTCATCAAGCTGTATATCACTGAGATCTATCGATGTCCCAAGCGATGTACGCATATCAAATTGAGGGTTGACTTCAGACGATTGTATAAAAACTGAATGAAAATAATTGTTGTCTGACATATGTCTTCACCTTTCGTGAGTACGGAGTCATTATAAACCATGCTCTGTGGTAGGTTACCCGATACCCTTTTAGATTTTATATATGTCCAGAAGAATTTAGGGTTTTCTTTTATTTTTTCCTCGGAGAAAGCCACATAGTTCCTAAAAGTACTGGATTCTAATTTACGCAAACGAGATCTAAGTAGAGAAAATGTTATATAATCCTTTCGACTACCATATATTTTCCATTTCTTATGATACTTTCTTTTTTCATTACTTAATTTTATTAGAGAAGGTGTATACCATGGGGGAAATTTCTGAGTATTAATTAATTTTTTGATAGGTACGTGTATTTTTATGACGTCATTTATGACAATGTAAAATGCTGATAACATAGAATCAACATCAGTACAGTTTAAGAAAATTTTATCCCAATTAACAGAATCCAAGATTTTCTTAATAGAATCATATTCTGCCGTAAAGAAATTTCTTTTCAAGACATTGTTATATTTTATAGAATGAGGTAAACTAATTGAGAGATTTATGTCTAAAGCTTTATGATGAGGGTCTTCTTTCACAAGTGGCATATTCAGCATATTAATGCAACAGCGCACACTACAGAACACCAGATCTAACAAGCGATTATTATAGTTAATTATGTGGTTATACTGTTGAAGAGAAGATAAATTCATAAAATCAGATGTTAATGAAAGTAAACTATTATCACTAGGCCAAATAGTCATACCGCCATACTCAGTATCCGGCACCCAATCAGCACTACTTATGTTAAAATCTCCAAGAAGAATGAAAATATCATTAGAATTTGAATTTATAATTTCCACCGTGCGATCGTAAAAGGAATTAAGTTGGGATTCGTGCCTTGTGCCATGCGGCACATAAACGCATGCCAAATGTAAATAAGACGGAATGACGTCATAGGATCGACATGTTGCGACTGAATGATTGCAACGGCCGCGCAATGGTATGCTCACCCACAGCTCGTCTGCTGGCGGTGGCGCGCACCATTCTAAGCGGGCGGTGGTGAACAGTTCACTACGTACAGCAATTACAACCCCTCCTCCACGACTACAACCACTGGCAGATATATCACGATCACATCTAAATGTTTCATAACGCCTATCAAAGTATTCTGAGTCATAAAAGGAGTCATTGAGCCAGGACTCTGTGATACAAATAATGTCATAATTATTATTTAAAACATTACTAAAAAAATCATGAGCCTTCGTACGCAGGCCCCTCACATTTTGATAATAAACAGACAAAGTATCATTAGAAGTCATTTTGAAATATTGTAAATCAACAAATATAAAATAAAAAAGAAAGGAATAAATAATTTGCGCCACCACTCTGATATTGTTTTTATTTTTATGAATACGCTAGAACTCACAAAGTAAAAGGTAATCATATAAACATCGAATTTCCTATTTTAATCAATATTTTGTCCATAAAACACACAGTAAATCATAATACACATAGAAGAGCCAACTATTAACTTCACTGCATAATTACAGTATGACATAGTATAAAGTATTAACAGGTTTAGAATTCGCAATAGTCACTTTATCTTATGTAAATCACATTCATGGGAAATTAAAATCGATTTAGACGAGTCATTTTTTCGGAGAAATATCTTGCAGTCATTGAGCCATATGTATTGGTAGATTAAGTCTTTACCCATCTTTCGAACCTGCTTAAATAGGGTCTTGTTGTGTGGCGTCAAATGATCGTTGATAAATATAGCTTTAGATGTGCCATCTATATCAATGTCTGCCGTAGTCAATCCACGCCGAGTGCGCACGGCTGCCAAAAAATCATTTTTCTTATTGCGTTGCGTGAACTTTATTATGATATTAGGTACTTGATTTTTTTGTTCCATAGAAGAAGCTACATCTAGTACTTTACTTTGATTGCTTTTATTTCCAAAACGTCTCACTCTATGAATAAAGTCGATATCGTTCGGCGAAAGCACATAACCGATCTTCATGGATATTCTATGAATTATATTATATAGATTTTCACCCTTTATCTGAGGTACCCCCGAAACCTCCAAATTATTGCCTTGCTGATCCTTAAAATGCTGTTGTTCTGTAAGTGACAATATAAGACTTTTTGTGTTCTTCAATTCATTTTCTAAAAAAGTGGTTTTGTCCATTAATCCAACGTGGCTTTTATCGAGATTTGTTAAGTCACACCTCAGGTCACTACACTCCTTTTGCAATTCATGTTGACACTGTTTCACATCCGATATTTCAGATTGGAGGTTAGAGAGGTCACCACGAATTTTTTTGATGGTTTCATTTTGTTGATTAAACAATGCTTCAAATGACGATGTGATGTTTCTTTGAAATTCTCGTAAAGTTTCCTTTAATTCTAACCGATATTCTGACAGTGTATCAGTAAGTTCACGGTGGAAATCCTCCAAACAAATATTGTTACCATCCGGTGTTTTACGTTTTCTTGTAGTAATAGCTTAGTATGACTCATCATCTCTCAACTGAGATAAGTTTGGATATGATCCACTGCTTATCTTACTCGGTGGTGAGCGCACGGGCTTCATCTTTGTATATATTAAATAAAATTATAATTGTACGAGTTTTAGGCACTTTTTCTTTTAAATAATACAAGGTTTAATTGTAAGTTACTAGGTATAACTATGAGCAGCGTTCAAATGGTTAGTTGATAAGAAGTTTGAATTGTAATTAACAAGTAGGTACGTATTGCAGCATAGATCAGTTGTCTGTATTGTGAGGGTATTTACATACGTATACAGCAGATGCTCGTGAGCGTCGGGTACAAGACAGCAACCATAATAGCGCGTTGCGCAGGAGTGCGATAAGGACAACTCGGAGCGCAGGAGTGCGACGAGGATAGCAAGCTGATGTCAACGGCCGGCCTAGACCCGTCGTCCTTGAGCGGAATCGAAACAGCCGATACCCACAATATTAAGAAGTGATATCAGTAGGTTTTATTCACTATAAATCACTGTATAACACGAGCACCGGAACCTCGAAAACGCACCCGTACAGCCCGAGATCGGAGCTATATACCAATGCAAAATTAATGTATAAATTTCAAATTATAATGGTAGTTAAACTGTTATTTACGAGAGCAAGTTAAAATGACGTTGCTTCAGTAACGCTGATGTTTTACTGGTTGATAATCTTCCTTTTCTGATCCATATCGGCATAGATAGCCTGATACAAATACCAACTTTCAACCGTTCAGGTCCGCACCTCGGACAGGGAGCATCGTTTCGGGTGCGCTCCGGGGAAATAAATTCAAAAGAGTGGGTTTTTCGCGTGAACCCCCATTGAATTATATATCAATAGACGCCTAATCACAAGACCTACACGGGGAAGTATCGTTTATGTGATTCCGACAATTTCTGAAAAAGTTATACGCGAAAACCGGTTCTTCGCTGGCGTCATACTCAACTAATCAATACAATTCAACTCTAAAACCATTTCAAATAGTTACACAAGTACAATTAACCCAGTTCCATCTAAACCAAGTGATAATAATCAAGTTAAAAGACAATTAAAAACCAAATTTAGTGAAAAACTGATCAAAGTGTTCCGTTCGGTTAAGGTGAAACCGAATGAGACGTTAAATATCGCGCGAAAACCATCAAAAAAGTGCCTCCTGGAGGAAAACTAGATACCTACATAAGTGAGTACCCGGAGTGAACATAAACAAATCGGTTCCTATCGAAGGTAACCTAAAAAACTTAGTGAAAAGTGTCAAGTGTCCAGTTCGGTTAAGATCAAACCAAGTTAAGTTTGTTCAGTTCAACCTGAACACAACCTGAGCGTATCCGAACAAAGTGTTAAAGTTGTTAAGTTAAGCTTGTTCAGTTCAGATGGAGCACATCCGAACAAAGTGTTAAAGTCGTTAAGTTAAGTTCGTTCAGTTCAGATTGAGCACATCCGAACAAAGTGTTAAAAACTGAACAACCGTACACCTTGCTGAGCAGGGTCGGCATCAGCACATTTGGCTGAGCCGGGCATGTGGTATAATATCTTCAAGGACACAATCCTGCCGCCGAACACAACCATGCCCCACGGCGTAACAATTCGAGTCACCCCCAACTCGAGAGACTGCCAGAGTCTGCCTTCCTGTCGCCGCGCCTGCTGATCCACAGCCGCACTCCAACCTCGGACCAGCATCTCAACACCAAGCCGAGCCGGGCCCGCATCCTATCACCTTACCGAGCGGGGCGGCATTTGAACGTCTGAACACCTTGCTGAGCGGGACCGGCAACCGCACATCCGGCTGAGTCAGGCAGGGGTTACAACACCTTCGAGGACGCAATCTCACCACCGAACACTGCTCCTACCCCACGGCGCGACAAGACAAGTCATCCCCGAACCGAACGGCTGCCGGTGTCGGCTGTCACACGACGACGACTGCTGACCCGCAACCATGCTCCAACTTCAGACCGGCACCCCAACATCATACTGTCTGAGCTCGCATCCGGGCGCCTCGCTGAGCGGAACGACCCCTGAACATCTGAACATCTTGCTGAGCGGGGCCGGCATCTGCACGTCCGGCTGAGTCGGGCAGAAGTTTCAACATCTTCAAGAACGCAAGTTTGCCGCCGAGCACGGCTCTTGTCCCGTGGCGTCACAGGACGAGCTGCCCCCGCGCCAAACGGCTGCCGGCGCCGGCTGCCGCGCGGCGGCGACTGCTTACCCGTAACCATACTCCAACTCAAGGTAGGAACATGCATTATATTCTCCTCTACAAAACGGGCCAACACCTCTGCCACCCGGACCACCGAACCGGGCCGCTCACGCCGAACCGGGCACCGATCCAGCTGCGGCTGCCTGAAATTCAACTGGAAACAATTGCAATCATTACTCTTTCTCAATTGTAACGATTAATTCATAAATACAATTATGATCATTGTTCTTCTCAATTGCAACAATTAATTCATAAATAGATTCAATGATGATTGTCATAATTACCAATTAATCAACTACTTAGGATTCATTATTTTTTTTTATTTTTATTTTGTTTTATATTTGTGATTTTTGTGATTTTGTAATTTATGAGTTACCACCATCAAACCATTACCAGTGTTTAATTACGTTAGTATCATGTTCAAGTGATTATGTTAATATCAGTACAAATATGTTAAGACTAGGTTCAGAAGTTCTGCTCAGATATGTTAAGACTATGCTAGGATCATGTTCAAATTGTTATGTTAATATCCGTACAAATACGTTAAGATGAGGTTCAAAAAGTTCAGTTCAGATTTGCACAGGCAAGTTAAGATCATGTACAGGATTATCATAAGTAGAAATAATAGAACCTTCAACAAAACTATGACTTGTTCAGGCCTGTTACCGCTAATAATGTAAGGATCAATCAAACAAATTCAGTTATTCTATTTTTGTTTGTTTTTTACATAAGTAATCCCATTACTCCAAGCACTGTAAAGCAATTCCATTTATTCTGTGTTAGTCAAAAGCAATCTACATTATATTGTGTATCTTATCCAAACTTGATTGAAATAATCGCACACAAAAAAAAAAAAAAAAAAAAATATATATATATACACATACATAGATATACAAGCAACTATATTATGATTAGTTAATCAAATTACCGCTATCTACATTACAACTATACAATTATTACAAGCTGATTAGATTCCAAAAGCTCAAATATGTCATAAGATATTATATAAAACAACTGTCCAATTATACTATTGTTACTATAGGACACAAGGGCTAAACAAACCCAACATACATTGTCAGCATAAGCGTTTAGCATTTAGTCATGATCATGCAATAATTATCCAATTATCTAATTATGTAATCAAAGCGAATTGATAACCAATAAATCCAATGTATGATTGAGCCATTATATTATATAATCCAAATTACTCAATTATTATAGTTTTGATCAATAATTGATTGAGTCATAAAGATAGATTAAGTTCAATAATTATAAGTAACACATAAGTATTCCTCTTTTTTATTTTTTATTTTTATTTTTATACAAATAATTATTATTATTCCTCAATCAATAGCTGATCGGAATCCAACAACAAATCGACTCTCACATACGATAAGCAATTATGTATCAATACAACTATCCAATTGTACAGATCATCATATTTTAATCAAAGCTGATTGGGATCCGACAGGAAATCAAATCTGATGTATGATTATTTTATTCTATTTTAATAATAATGTACCAATACAATGTGATTTCAGTTAATTACCAGTTGACCAAACCAGCCATTATGTACCAATATATCCATAGAACATAACCATTCAATGTAAAGTGTTATTGCCGTTCAAGTACTTACTCTGTAACTAGCCCGATCCACTCCTTTGTAACAATAATCCACAATCGAATAAGTGTAACTTTTATTTTAGATTCACCTAGGTTGGGAAAGGAATCAATTTCAACTTTAATCACCCAAGCTCAATTTCTCTCTAGTATCATTGTACAACAAGTAATCTTTCCATAGACCGGGTTATACCTCCAGCTTATACTGAAAAGAAGAGGTTTAAGCAACACTAGAAAACGCAGCAGGGGCCGGTCGCCCCAGGACCAGTAGCATGGTGGCGGGGCCCTGGGGCGATCGGCCCAAAGGCCGTACCGGTCTACTGCTTAACTACGCGGTTTTAGGTCAATGCACCAAGGTGTATCTGCCGGAGTCTGGAGCGCTCTCCAAGATCCGGCTCATGATGATCTACAGCGCAGCTCCTGCCTTTCTTCCCTCCCCCTATAGCTAGCTCAACTGCAAGTATAGGGGACAGGCCTGGCACCGTCGTCGGGCGGCTCCTTCCTCACTCCGGGAAAACAGGAGCACCCCTTGACATGAGTGCAGGCTCTCCAAGTCAGGCAACTTTACCATCATACGAGGGGCTGCCGCCGCAGTTTACCACCTTTCTCTTCCCTCTTCTTTTTTTTAGATTCCGCTGGAGCAGACACGACTCGGGGCGATCCTAGCAACTAACTCACTCAGACAGCTCCAACTACAACACCTTTCCTGTCACGCCCGAGAGTCGCAACACACAGGGGTCCATGATCGCCCCGGCGCCCCGCAGCCGTGGCCACCAGCCTTGGTGGAGGCGGCTGCGGGGCGGCGGGGCCCTCATCATTCTGGACTTCCTACTTCTGAATCATCCATCGTAAATCATCATTCACACTTCTCATACCTTCAACAATCATTTCAATCACCCATTTCTATCTGGAAACAGGGGTTCTATCCTCACCTCACCCTCACTTTTCTTCTTTCACCATTCTTCGACCCCTGTTTCCACTTTCTCATCACCCTCTATCCCCTTTTCTTTCTCTCTACCCCTTAGGAGGGGGCCAGTGGACCAACGAGATGCTCGCGGGTGAATTCCCACCCCCTCCGCTCATCCTCACCTCATCATCAGCGCCTCTCCCATTTTTAAGGGGAGTTGGTACAATCCCCCCTCATCAGGGGGATTTAAAGCAAAACTCATCAAGGTTCATCTAACTAAATACAATTGGAATTTAAAAAAAAAAAAAAATACCAACTTTCAGTATGGAGATATGGAGTATCATATATTTCCTTTTTAATAGCCTTATAATTATTTATATTTATTTAAAAATATAACATGCGATATATGCAGCAGACTTTTGAGTTAAAAACTACTAAAAATCATTAAAATCCACTCAGAAATACTTTAAATAAAAGTTTTAGCATATTAAACTATAAAAAAAATGTTAAAAATAAAGTTTAAAAAAAAAACTATTTCCTGTAAATTTTTTAGTTGGATTTCAGTCATTTTCATTGTCGCTATGATAAATAAAACCAATGAAGGTTTTTTGACTTGATGTTTTTTTTTATACCTTCCGTAGCTAAAATGAGATGGATTCTTAAATATATTCCTTTGTAATTGGCCCACAAAAATATTCCAGGCTTATATCGATTTATTTCCGGTTTTCTCGTATTTGTATCAGGCTAAGAGTCATTAACTTTTTATTAGCATTTAGTTGTATGTAATTTGATGTATATTATTTGCAAATAAAATCAAGAGGTTAAAGAATACCACCGGTATTTCATTGCGCCATCCAGAGCTACTGCTGATGCCAACATTAGAATACTCCCTGTTTATTTTTCTTGTAAAACTATACGAATTGACATGGTGATTTTAAATTATTGTAATTTAAATTATCAATTGAACAGTAAACTGTGCCTTTCATTAGACGAAGTAGTTATTTTGAAGACATTTTACTTGTTTTATCACCTCAAACTCGTCTCTTTACGTGTAATGGCCACTAAAGTGACATTGGTGGAATTGTGTAAACGTATACAGGCGATAAATAAAAAAAAAGTAGTAGTACATAAGATATTAATTAGTATATAAATCAAAGGCGACTGACTGACATAGTGATCTATCTATCAATGCACAGCCCAAACCAATGGACGGATCGGGCTGAAATTTGGCATGTAGGTAGATGTTATGACATAGGCATCCGCTAAGAAAGGATTTTGATAAATTCTAACCCCAAGGGGATTAAATAGGGGATGAAAGTTTGTATGTATGAAACTTTGTCAATTTTAAACCGATCGGGCTGAGACTTTGCATGCATAAAGCTACTATGACGTAGGCATCCTCTAAGAAAGGATTTTGATGAATTCCATCCCTAAGAGGATAAAATAGGGGATGAAACTTTATTTCAGGTATTTTACACGATATAATGAATTATCTCTAGAAATGCTGCTTAAAGTAATTTTACCACGCGTACGAAGTCGCGGGTAAGAGCTAGTTTATAATAAAGACATATCCAAAGATTTACTGTGTGAACAAATACTGCAGCTATTTTAGCATGGACCGTGGTAGGATGGGTGACCGATTTATTTTTTTTATTATTTATGTAACAAATATTTACTTGTGTCGCGTTATAGGAAATAATGTTTTGGTTTCAGACTCGAATAAACGCGTTGAAAGTGAAAATCAAAGAATTGGAGCGGCAAAAGAATAGCGCTTCGGAGGTAATAAATCATTATTTATTTATATACGTATTATCTATACTTATATTACGAAGAGGAAAGACTTGATTGTTCGTTTGTTTGCAACGAATATTCTCTCAAACTACTGGATCGATTAAAAAAATTCTTTTACATATGGGAGGCAACATTATATCCGGTGAACATAGGCTATATTTTTAT